ACCTTATAATCGTGAATGGAAACCACCATATACAGTATTATGTTTGCCTTAATTTAAAATAATGGAGTTTCCGTAACCATAAATATGAAAACTCTGTCCTCGAAAGAACATAACGATAAAAGTATTGGTCCGATCGAGAAGATAAATCTGTTGAAGTAAAAGAATAAAAGATCTCTAACAATCTTTCATAATTTATATGATCATAATTGGAAAGATACACAAAAATCGGCGGTTTAGTTTAGCCGATCAACGGGGACTGGAGCTCGAAATTTTCCAAAATAGAAACCTGATATATATTTTTTTCCAATTTTGTTAAATTTGTTCCAGTGTTGGGATATTGACAAACAACTGTGCCATCATTTCAATGTCCAACTAATTTTGGGCATATGTTCAAAAACCAATCAGACAATATATTGTAGTACGTAGCATTCTCAACCTGACCTCTGCAGTATCCTGGACGCTCTAATTTTGATATCTGCCATCTGCACTAAGCTTAAAGAGGTTGAAGAGTGAAATATTTTAGGCAATTATTGAGATTAATTCCGAATTTATTTCTTTATACAGACAGTATATTATACGTATGAAAATAAAGTAGATACGTATACGTATGTGATCTTTTTCTTCATATCTGATATGTATTTTATTTTTAGATGAAAGGCTAGATGGATGATTTTTATCTGTTATTAACGTTGTTGCTCCCGAGGCATCATTTCTCTGATCTCATAATACAGATAGCCTTATTTTTCGACAAGACATAATAGTCAATAGTTTTAATGTTCGGTGAAATGGTAATTGCAGTTAAATGACTGATTTGGAATATTAGCTATCAATATTTCGGAAACTGAGATACTTGCATCAAAATTACGTCTTGTCAGTAAAATTGATTGTAAGTATTATGGCTTCGGCGAAATGGTATTTTAGAAAAATGAATTTCGAAAAGTTAACCCGTAACCGTTATTTGTTATTAACAGTTAAATGTACGTACAGTACGTACGTATATATGTACATAATTTTTTTTTTTTATGATCATAATTAAGAGTTTACAGAAACAGATTGTGTATTTCCACTTCATATATGCATATATGCGTGTTTTGGACCCTTAAATTAATAAGCATCATTTACATTATCTTTATGCGTAATATAAATAATACGTCATCAGCACCAATTGATGACAATCATTTATTGATGTATGATATAAAAGGTCAAACATCTGTACACGCATGTTTGCAGAATTATTCCCACAAACTCTTCCGGCAAGACACTATGCTAAAATTATTCACGAATGCTATCAAAAAGAAAACTTCTCAGGACATATATATATCCAAAGATACAACAGAAAATCCTAAACCTTCAAACAATTACGTTCCTGAAGTAGAAAGTACGGGTTCTAACGTAACTAACGAAACTAATAGCTACGAAAAAAACAAGACCATACTTAACGATCATGAAACAACTGCATTAACAGAAAAAGCAGGAGGTACATCGGACTGTAAACGTTCAATATCAATACGTAAAGAAAACTCTTATTCTGGTATTTTTCAACCTGAATTACTTAGTCCACTCAAACCTTCGCGCCTTTATGGTTCTCCCGAATCATTATCTGGACTATCTGAATTTTTAAGCAGCAGTGTTTATCAGAATTCTTTAACTTATCTTGTTGTGCGAAAATCTTCCTCAAGAAGTGATATTGAAATTCTTTATCCAATTGATAATGTTAAAGTAGACGAAACTATAAAGCGAACTTCTCAGAATTGCAAAGACATTTATGAAAACGATCCAATTTATCATTCTATTTATTCAAAACATATAATATCCTCTAAAACTTCTCTTTATCATAGTATTTTAAAACAAGTTTATAATGATTTCACTATACTCGATGCGATGCAAGTTTCTCCAGCAGGTGAGCCAACTATTACCATAAAAAGCGAATGTTTTATCGGTGCAGATACCGAACTTCGTCGTACAGGTTC